TTCTCACTGATGAGGATCAATGGTGATGGACAGAAATATATGCGGAGGGTGCTGCACGCAGGGATTTTACTTCTGGGGGCATCACGGGCATCGAGGAACATAGTTTGAGCCAGGTAGCTTTCACTGTCAATCCCTGAGGAAGCTTTAAGGCTGTTATAATGGGGTGTATGTTTTGCTACCGGTAGAGACCCGAGTCCTTCATGGAGACCAGACGGGTTTTGCAGACGCACATCAATCCTCGCTGTGGTGAGTGAGTTGATGTCTGAGTTGAGAGGAGCAGCCTGTGGAGCCCAGAGCGGAATCCCTCTGCTGTCCCATTCCCGCCCCCCGCCCCCAGAGCCTCCCTGACACAGTCAGCAGGCTGGAGACATGGGGGAGCCTTTGCTGATCCGGTTTGATGGACAGAGAAAGGTGGATGGGACAGCATCCGGCAGGGCAGCATTCTTGCTCCCTGTCGCCCTGTCCCCAAACATGTCACCCAGTGGGTGTCACCAACACCCACACTCGGGACACCCTACAGGGAGTGAGCCCACTCACCAATGGTGACCCTGCCTCTGATTTTACCCGTTCTTCCCGCCCCCCTGAGTAGCTGACCATGCCTGGCATATTGGAAATGTGTGGATAATGGAGAGTGCTACAAGGTAAATGCATCTGTAAGAGAGGACAGCGTTCTACTAGCGTGTTCTTAGAAATACACCTGGCTCCTGGGCCAGACTGTTGTGCCAGCAGGTCAGCGCTGGCATTCTGCCCTCTGCAGGCAAGCTGGTGTGAAGCCAGCCTCTGGAATTGGAGCTCTAGGATCACAGCAAGGAGAGGGACTGAGCGTAGCAGCGCTCAGTCACGTGAGCCCGTGAAGATGGCCTTGACGGATGGAGGGCCATGTCCACGGAGTGGAGCCCCTCTCCAGCCGGTGCTGGGACGGCCTGGGCCCGCCCTGCCTCCCGGAGGGACATGACTCTGCCTGGGCTTTCATAGCCCATCAGTCCCCCTCTGCTGATGCTCTTCTTTCAGATATGTTCACGCATTCGTCAGCGCTCTCTCTAGCTGGTGGCCCTGGGAGGCCATCCGTGTCTTTCTGTGAGCGTGCCGTTCTCTGCTCCATTTCCTAGCATTGGATTGGCAATCCCTCTCTCAGAGAACAAGCAAGCACTGCTACCTCCCGGTTCTTGGAGGACAGATGCCCACACGCTGCCCAGGCACCGCTGGATGCTGGTGGAGAAGCGAGTCCCCGTCGCCTGGCACCAGTGGCTCTGACTGCTTTCACAACGCTGTCACCGACCTGGGCGCCGGGGGTAGCCCAGCAGGATAAAGGCCTGTGCCGCCCTCTGTCCCGAGCGAAGGCAGA